ACTCGAAACCAAACAACAAGCAACGATAAACAAACAACAAACAAACAACAAATTATATAATTAACTTATATAATTAATAACTTATATAATTAATAACTTATATAATTAATAATTAATAATTATATAATTAATCGATTAAAAATGCACAAATATAAACGTCGTTTCTATAAAATCATTAAAAAGAACAAATCACATTACACATCAAATTTATGAGATTCATTATATTGACAAGCATTTTGAGACGGTGTAATATTAGGAGTGCAATTACAAAAGCTTGTTCCGCATGTTCTCGAGACGAGAGATAATTCACTGAACACGTGCTTTTAACGCGGATTTGACATCTGAAAATACGGTTCCCCACAAATGACTACCTCGTTACTGCCGCGCTATAAATAGACCCAAACGGCCTTGGTCAACATTCTTCGGGGTCGTCGGCTTCAACCGGCACCCTCACGCATCGTAAAGATATTTTCTCGACTACACTCAAATTCCCAGCAGAAATCACGAACGGGACTTTCGATGAGAAACTCATACAAAGTGAACGAAGTAAATGTCAGATGCTTCTTTAAAATCAACTTCTCTTACGTAATATTGATCGCATATACACATGGATTATTATATCAATACTCGCGTCTTTTCACAATTTTAGATGCGATCAGAAACAAAAAAGAAATTGATATAATAAACTAAATTAAAGATGATATTATCTGTAAGCTTCCTTTTATTTCGGTAAAAAGTCGGTAAAATTTCTTTAAATAAAGATCAAGCTTTTGTTTATATAGTAAAACTCAGTTAGTTCGAACACATGGGAGGATAAACAGTTTTAATAACCGAATGGTTCCGATAATAAAGATTAATTAGTTTTTTCTTTTACCAGTATTAGTTCCGATAATAGGATGTTTAAAAAACTAGAATTAAGCTCAACTATGAATTCATATATTTGGAGCGCAAACTTGTTCTTATAAATAGAGTACAAATAAACGTGGTTCTGTATTTATGAAGATCATACACACGTAATTTGATAATTCTTTCATTTTGATCGATTCATTAGATTGTATCATTATTAAATGTGCATTTCATACTGTCCCCTTTTTCAGAAGATGCTCAGGAAATTTTTAAGCTTTTTGCAGTCCCGATGAAAAGGGAACAGAAATGAAATCAAACTCTGTGTAAAAGAATCAACTAGCATATTCCTGTTCGCTGGTCCCTGGATTCTTTTTACGGAATATAATCGAATTAATAAGCTCACAGAAGGTCGCTAAGTGGACAACCAAGTGTCAAAGATTGAATTTTACCGGCAGTCACCGTATCCGCTGATCAATGAAAATTGGCGTGTTCATTTCTTTTCGTGCTGGATCTCCGTCAGATCGATAAATTCCTCCCCCCTCCCCCCCCCCGGATATCTCATTCGCTTCCTTTTCGGAATTCCTAACGTGTTCGCAAATCGATGGATGGATCAGCCTCGCGAGTTCGCTGTTACACACGATCGGAAAAATATTTCGCGATATTCGACAATTTCATTATCGGCATCTCGATAACCGGACTGCAGACAACAACCGCAACCGCGTTAAAATAAAAGGCAGTGGCAGATAGACTTGAGCAATAAACGTTATGTTATTACGGTATACGGTTATCGCTGCAATTTATCGGCATTCGGCAATGCGCGACGCGACGCAAGCCGTAAGTCTGCATTGCAACGATAGTAAAAAAGGTGCGACACCAACTTTGTAAACCACTGCATTTTATCTTACCACGAGGCACATATAAAGGGGAAATCCGTGATTTAAGACTTCAATACTTTACCGATTTCCGGAGACGAAGAAGAATGTTCTCTCCTGATCAATCCTGATGAAATCTCGTAATATCACAGGTTTTATCACAGAACGATGGGCAGTATAAGATTCCAATAAAACGTCCAGGTATCTCACTCGAGATGCGAAAGATCGATCGCAGGACACGTCGCAATTGTTCCCCGCTACAATTTGCGAAACGACAATCTCATCCGGTTAGGCTGGTTAAGCTTGTTGAAAACGTCCAAGAGTTAACGAGAGCCTCGCTAATCCCCGCGTTAAAATATGTAAAACGCGGCACGGAACGACGATCATCGACGTTCCGACGTGCGTCTATGCAGTTGCTGTCACGAACTATTAGCCGCGTGACGCCGGCTTTTTATTTCTTTCCTCTTTCCGTTTTTTTTTTTACGCAAAAAACGGAGCTTCCGTTTTTTTCTTTTTTTTGGTGAACGAATCCTCGGGAGTGGCGGGTTTCGCGTGCGGGTTTCGAGCTTCGATCGCCAATGCAGCACGGTCGACCCGGCACGATCGCGCTACTCCGATCGAATGCAGATTGCGTCTCAAAAGGTCACGCGGAGCTGTTGCATGTCCCGACGGAGGCGAGCCGGCGAAAATCGAGCTTTGCTGTATCGCACGTTCTCGACTGATTATTAACGCCGGCGGTTTCGCGCCCGAAACTGGAACACGACGGTTAGCGTCCGTACTACAGACGTGTTTGCTCGGGGTGTCGCGATAACAGTGATAATTGTTTACTAAAACAAACCCTCGTTCGAATGGGAAGAACCAGCGTGACGGTTAATTAAAAGCAAAAAAAGAAAGAAAGAAAAGAAAAAAAACTGGCGAGACAATCGGCAGTGGCTGCCACGTCACTCCATCCGCATGTAATCACCGGCGTGGATCCACCGGAGGGGGGGGCGTGTGAAGTTAGCCGTGAATGACGCGCGTACGTCACGCGTAACGCTTCTTTCGCTTCCGCGAATTCGGCTGTGCGTATTATTCTCCTTTGGAGCAACAAAACACGCTAATTGACCAGAATCACAGGCGCGGAATCACTCGCTCGCTACGAAAACTGCGCCGTCAACAATTGCACCGTCCGTTGATGTCTTTGCCGCTTCTCTCTGTCCTCTCTCTTTCCGATCGCTCCGTCACGAAAGGAAAACGGGCCAGGTAACGCGCTCAGGTAACGAACTCCGCCGAAATTGAAGCGAAAGGAGCCTTTTCACTCCGGGACACGTTGGGCGCTCGTGTGGAATGCCAGGAACTCTCGGAATGTCGCGGGGCAACTCTTGCGATGCAACTCGCGATCTCGTCTCTCTTTTTCCGCAAACGTTCGGCTCGCTCCCGCTCTCTCGACGCCGCGATCGCTCGCCTCCACTGCTCACACGCGCACTTTGCACTCTTTCTTCTCCTCTCGCCCGCACGGCGTATTCGTCGCACACGGTCGCTTCTTCACTCTCACACACATACACATGCACAGGGCGTCTCGTCGCGACGCGCGAAGTGGGAGCCGCCGCCGCCGAGTGAATCGAATTAAAAATGCAACCGAGTTAAATGTGCGCGCGCGATCGCGTCCGCTGGAGCACTGACGCGCGGCTGATTCCGAACTCCACGAGCTACTGCGGCCGAGTTTGGTCGGAATACTTCGGCGGCTCCGTTCGCCGCCCGAATGGACCCGAGACGTCACGAAGCGCCCGTCCATCCGCCGCAACGTGCGGCCCGAGCCCGATGCCCGACGACACTCCGGTCCCGACCTCGGGTCGAGATGGAACGGGATGCGATGGAAATTGCGGATCGGGACCTTGGAAAAAAAACATCGCCGCTCCTATCGCATTAACCGCGACATTAATTCGCGCTGACGCTGTAAACGTTTCGAAACGTTCGGCACGATTCGATCCCGCGGTCCATCTCTGACGCTTCAAAATATTCTAGCGACACGTGGATTAATATGTCATAAATTTTTCCTCGCTTCAAGCAGAGAGACCGCCGCAATTGAAACGCAAATATTTAAATATTTATCTTCGTAATGTTGACACATTGTGTCAGCAGACCGTTTTACAAAGGCTTAGGGAATAAACAGAGAATAAATAGCAATCAGGGACGATCAATCGAATCATATTTTATGAACTATCTCGGTCCAACGTTTATTTACATAAAATTTAAATAGCAACAATTTTATCACACGGAAGAAAATGAGTCTTAAATCAAGATAAATGTCTATATAAGCAGGAATATTATAATCTTCATAGAGGATTTTTAGTCTGAGTTGAACAAAAAGTAAAATATTTGCTTGCAATATAAACTCAATCGAATCAAGACTAAAATCTTCTAAGAAAATTATAATATTCTTGTTTCTACGTGAGAATATCTACCTTGATTTAAAATTAATTGTTTTTGTTTACGTACGTCTTACAAAGTTCATAACGTTATCGCGGTGAATCTTACTCTGTCTCTCTCATTAAAATAATGCCGTCGGAAATGTTTACGATATTAAAGACAAATTATTACGATTAAAGGCAAATCTCTAGATCTACGTCAGGAAATTGAAATAATAATAACGCACGCGGCGCGATACTCAAATTACACCCGTTTTGAATCCGTTCTTCGCGTTGCGCAACGTCTTCATGCATGATGGTCGTCAATTATCGTCGTTGCATGCGCTTCACGTTGGATTAAAACGGCGATACCTGCGTGATGGAGATCATTTTCACGCCAGGCCCAAAATTTTCGTGCCTCGTGCTAGGGATCCAGTACGTGTCGTACAGTCTCGATTAGCGTTGCTGTAAAGGTAACGTACATAGGTATCGGATATTCGCGCTACGGTTTCATCAGAATCTAGTTAACTCCTCGCGGCCTGCCGAACTTCGATCTAATAACAAAGCGCACGCGAGCCTATCTAATAACTATCGCGATTACATCTTCATTAAGGATCGTCCAAGTGTCGAAACGTAACATGCATTTACCTCTCGTTATTAAGTTCATATATGAATATTCACTAGAAATGTTTACGTAGGTACAATATTACAATCTTGAATAATAGGATTAGCTATTGTTAACCAAGCATAATTATTTTTTCTTCCTTATCTTTAAAGAAGCCAGAACTGCGTTCTGTAGCGTACTTGTGTGTTTTACATATGTCGCGGTTAGAGAATACCGACGATTTTGTCTTTATTGTAAAACGCGCTTTTGTACATTAAGCGCATGCGTTTGATCGTTGCGCACACTTGTTAAATCCACTTTATTCAACAGATATTATATTCATTAACATTTTCGTTTTAACACATTAATTGATTTCATTGTAAGAAACTTCTTTTTATGTCTTATGAAGTACATGGTGGAGCCGAAATCATATATCATTCTTTATGAATCACAGATACATTTGTTCGCTTTTAATATTTCATTGAGATTTCTCGAGAATTTCTGCGCACATACGTGCGAAAGACTCAGAGAAGATTTTATTATGTGCATAAATCCTGCCTTGGATTGATATTCAGCAATTTCGGGCTTGCACGATTTTATTTTTCTTCGATGCTTATTTTCTGCGACGAGCGAGCTTAATTGCCTTCAACTCAGGCCGCGTAAGACACACGATCGTTTCACGGGGAAAAAAATATTATCAAAAGCACTATATACACTCCACACAAGTCCTCCGGACGAGATTACAAAATCCGGATGACCGGATGTACTGCCTGCGGATTTACATTTACATTAAAGCCCTGATTGCAACCGCGGGCTTCTTGAGCGTTGTTGAAAGCCTGTCGCCGTGTAATAAAGCACTCGGAGAGCACCCTATCTTTTTGCAAATCGTCGACACATTCCAACTTTGATCTTCTTTTCAGCAACGACCTTATTTTCCATCTTCTCCTCGCTTCCCTGCCGGTCCAGCGGTTTCGTTCTCTCGCACAAGTTTTCCCCGAACCTGTCTCCCGAACGACCCCCTCATAAAAAATACAATATTTTCCTTTCATTTGATCCGACAACTTCCCCTGTCCTCCCTTATCCACGCTTTCTCCGTGTCTGTTCTCGTCTCTTTGTGTGCCTGGCGGATCTGTAAGTTTAATTCGACGCGGAAGTCCAGCCGAGTCTGCGCCACAACCGCTCGCTCTGGGCGACTTGATTGCTTTGTCCTCTGAGACTTTAATATGAATTACAAACCTGCTCCTTGACTTCTCTACTCTCGTTCCCTCCTCATCCTCACCCGAATCGTTATCTCATCGTTGTTTCCCTGCCGACTGCGCGTTCGCTTGTAGAGAAATGAAACGGTTGTAAGTACATCGTTTTGTTGCCAGAAACGTGAATTAAAATGAAAGATAATGTATTTATGACGCAAATAGTATTATCATTGCATGCGATATCGGTCGAAAAATAAAATATTATCGTAAAGAATGACGCGAGCAAAATAAAAATACGTCTTCGTAATCGACATTTACGTTTCTGCAACGCAATCGCAATCTGCAGTGTTGCACGTTGCACGGAAGCGATAAAAAAAGTTCCTGACGCGTTCGCGACGTGCGCGTGTCTCTTTTACGAGTTTCCGCAATGTCATGGAAACGCATCTCCGGATGCGAGAGATAAAAAGTACGTACCATTCACGATGATCGTATTTCTGCGGACAAAGATGCAGAAGGCAAATAAGAAACTCGTCGTGCTTTCGTGCAATGAAATTTCTATGTTTAGTTTTTTATAAACTCTTTGCGTTCCTCTTCGCGCAGATATTTCGTGGTGCAAAAAAAGTCATAATGTTCTAACATATCTATAAATTTAAAAATAATAATGCTATCTTAAAGAAAATAATAGCGCAAAGATATCAAGTGATAAAATACAGATGAGCAACATGAAGGAAAACATGGAATACAAAGAAAAATTCAGACATTTAGGAATGAATTGAAGAATGCTATTTTCAAAATTTCAATACTTTTCTACGAAACATTGAGATTTATGGGAATCGTTGCAGAGCTAGACCGCGCAAAGAAATCTGATATTCCTATATCAATCTTTCATAGAGGATCTACGGAAAATCTATTTAGGATGGAACAGAGGAACCTTTCATAGATATGCGATTACGATATGAAGGAAACGAATATGCAAAATAGAGGGCCTGTAAACGAAAATCTATAGAAATATGGAACTATGAAATCGCTATTTTCCACTTTCTGGTGCTTTCAATCATAAATCTCCACGAGAAGAAAAATATTCGTAGTCAGGAAACTGAAATTTCTATTTTCATTATCTCAATAATATTAAATGATATTAGAGAATAGAAAGCTTTGGATGGACATTAATCACATCTATTATAAATTAAAAATATATAATTATTTTGATTGTGCAAAAATGTTCATTTAATTACTATATTTTGAAAATAAAAAATTTTTAGTACCTTGATTTTTAAAATTATAACATTTAGCTTTCTTACAATTAATAAATATGGATTATATGAAATAACATGTTACAATAAAAATGTATTAAAATAATTTATCTCAATGTAATTATATTATAATGAAGAAGAGTCAAATTATTTTAATGTAATTACATATATTCCATTGCATTTTATACAATTTTATACGAATAAAAAAAATTAATTAATTAAAAGAATTACATATTAAATATATATCATGTTTATAACTTAATTTCCTAATTTGACGTGAATTGAAAATTCACATTTACATGAAACATACATCAAATACAATTTGAAAATTCATCTCTTTGCATAGACGATTCATGACATGAACGGGTTCGTACTTTGAACGCTTATAGGATCTGCTCGGCCACACGTAGATTCGATAAATCAACAGCTAATCGCATTTCTCATATGCAAAGTGCCGTTTCTGAATATCGCAAGAAACAATTGTGCGAATAAATAAATGATATTTAGAATCGTTACTCTAAATATAATATTTCTATTAGTTAATTGCCTGTATATGCAAATATTTTATCCAATATTTGACTACGGCTTTTATTTCTGCATTACGTGTGTACATATTGATTTACTGAACAGCATTACATGCTACGTAACACAATAGGCTTCTAAAGCTTTCCAAAAATAATACAAATTTTACTTTATTTATGTAGATATGTAAATACATTTTAGAGTATGTATGTAATGTTGTATGATGTATAAAAAAAAAATTATTGCAATCCTCACATTTCACGCAAAATTTCTTGTACTATTTTATTCGAAATATGATAAGTACTACTTTACTCGAAATATGATAAGAAGATAAATCAATAAATAAATTAGCAAAAAATCGAAAGAATATAAAAAATAAAAACATAATATGTTTAATACTTATAAACATAAATATATTATGTTTATAAATTAACGATGTAATATAAATCGTAGAATTTAAACGATCGTATGTTTTTCATATGAAACTTCTTGATTGCTACATGAGTTGCCTCGTATGTGGAAGTTCGATATTCGCATCACGTTCGTGAACCTGACGAGTAAAGTGGTTTATCTAAACGTACAGGTCAAGCGCATTGCGAAAATTTTCCGTTGGCTGAAAAACTTGCCGAGAGTACGTGTTCCTTCGAATTTGTGAAATGTGACTGTTCAAGTTCGCACAAGTCGTTCACAATTGGCTCGAACCACGTCACAATTGAGTGAAGAAGTAAATTAATACTCTTAGGCGGAATGCCACGGTCTTGTTAACAATTACCTCCATTTTCGCGAGGCTGTTAAAAGATCTAAGATCATAGATAATCGAGCGAGCAGACGTGATAATAAGTGCTTTAAGACGATATACGATACGATCCATGGAAGGAGATAATTGAAGAAAATTGTAAAGTTCACAAGGAAGAATGTTATCGCTGCGGAACATCGAATGTGTCGCGGAATTGACAGTTGACCGGAATTCTCGTATTCTCATGGTATTTCCAGCTTGTATGTGTCATGTATATAAGATTCCATATTTTGTCGCCATATTTGTGCTATAATGAGAATGCAGTAAAATACAATAGGTATCACGATAATCTATGAGAGTTTTATAATGCACGCAAATTTATAAAGATTTGTCTACCAAGGAGTATCAGCATACGCGAGACACCGCGTGTTGGTATTAAACTTTCATTTTCCACAAGCATCGAGCAACAATGTAAAGAAAAGGGCTCTTTGTAAGATCGTTCGCTTACAAAGGCAGTGGAGAACACAATGGACCCTCTAAGTTCTGTGAGATACGTTAGAAAGGCAGCTCCAAGTACGGAAGGACCACCTTCGACGGGATGTTTGTCATACAAACATACATCGAAAATATTGATAAAATTTAATATAGAAAAGATCAAACTTATGCTTATTATATAAACAGTATATACGTGTGTGGAAATATTCGCACGATTTTTCCCCAAGAAAATTTTATAGAAAGATATTAATTAATTCTGTCGGTATCTTATCTCCTTGATCGCTTATTCCATAATTTCCATAATTGTTTATCACAAAGCTAGCGATTTTCGACGGATCAAAATATTTCCGTAAAATTTATTATTGCGTATCTATCTCATTTTCATTTGATAAATCCAATGTTTAATACAAAATTTCCTTCCCAATATTTTCCCAAATAAAGTGAAAAGATTATAAAAATAACTGCAAATCATACAGTATTAAAAAAAAAATTGTTTAGAGATTTCAATGCAATTTTGAAACAGAGAGTAAATCTCGATTTCTATCAATTTTTTTCTAGTAATTTCTAGAGAAGTAGGTTTCGCAAGTAATACAAACGTACAGTATGTTCTAAATCAGAGATCAATTTCTAGCCGTTTATCAACGATGAACTCAAAACGGATCGCGATAGTGTCCATTTCTCGAGATGAATAACACCATAATCCGTGAAAGCGGATTTTTCATGAAAGAAATTCGATCGCGTTAGATTCTGAAACGTCCGAGTAACCCATGATGGCGGCTGTGTAAACTCAGAACAGAAATACGACAGCTAAAGGGATGACATTCTGTGCTGAGTCATGGCCACTGGAACTACCAGAGTCCCAGATCGGACCAGCTCAGCAAACCATCGAGAGTCGAAGCGCCTGATTCCAAACTATCGATTTTTTTGGAGCTGTATCCAAGATGGATTCCAGTGTTCACTAAGAACTGAAGATTGAAACTAAGATTGGAACTAAGATTGAAGCACGAGAAGAAACCACGAGCATAACATTCTTAACTACATATTGCGTAAAATGATATTATTGAAAAAAATCGACCTTTTAATTTTTCTATACTTTTTTACCTCATATTCGGATTATTTGTAAACTGTCGCTTATTTGAGTATCCTAACAATTATTAAGTAATGTAAATTTTATTGCATTACGGAGAGTATTAAAATCTAAAAATAATTTTACATTATTGTTGCATAGACGTAACTTCGTTTCTGCTTGCCTCCCGACTCTTTCTTTCCGCAATTTGTATCTAAATAAATTCGTAATGAAATCCATTTAGGAAGCTTTTAACAACAATAAGCTTGATATATTACTGCTTAAAAGAATATAATAATAATGATCGCCATTTACAATGTATTCGCTATTCTCACTGTTTTAAACGGTTGGAATATTTAGTAATTATTCTTTCCCCGTGAGACAGTAAATGATGCTTCGTTATCGGTTTTCCAAGCAGTACCGGGAAAGATGGATTCTCTATGGAGGTCGAAGGAGCGCCTTGTCATTCCACGGTCGTTAATAAATCATGGTACGAAGTCTCGTTTTCCCAATACGCTGTCGAAAGGTAGAGCAAAGGGAAAACGACTCCGGAAGAGGACCCGTGCGCTACGTCAAATTAAGAGTGATATAAAAAAGAAACATGTACAGTGATCGAACCGAAAGATATCTATTCGCATACGCGTTTTCCATCGATATCGCAACAAAAATACGAGCGCGCTTTGTTGCACGATTTACATGTTCACCGTACGCGTTCGTCAAGCGACAGAAAACGTTTTTGATTTTATCCATAACGGACGTTATGCCATCGCAGAAGAAATATCGCTTTTTTTTTATATGTATTTCAAAAAAATCCGACTTTTCTATTGATAATAAATCATTTGTGCATTTTCAAATGCACAGTGTGCACGTACATACATTTCAGATCGGTGAATAGTAAAATATCTTTATTTGCTTTCTTTATTTGTTAATAAGCGTTTGTATAACTATATTAAATTATCACCCTATCACTTTTTATCTTCAAAATGAAATTCAAGATGAATACATCAATCATTCATGCTAATGATGTATGTCTGAAATACAGATACGTCTAGAATAACGAGCTATTTATCAGAGATTAATGTCAAAAGCATAAATTAATTCGGAATACCACGCAAATTGCTGTAATCGTATTAATACAAAATATTT